AGGATAATGTAAAATGGATTAGTAACATTTTAAGACCAAAATGAGGAGACTTACAACAGCACTTAAAAAGACAAGGAGTCCAGTTTCTCTATACATGCATCACGAATTTCAGATTTCCGATCATTGCACAATGCGTACTGGGAAGGATTTTCTGAAAAAGTGAGCATCAAACTGCTTCAATCAAAGGTTTGCATCAAAGGTTTGCAGTCACACAGATTTGATTCCCATTTGCATTTATGGAGTTTGCAAACTTCCGAAGCTCATTTCTCAAGCCATTTTCCGTTGTTAGGACATCCAACAACCACACAATTATGTCCGAATCCCAAACTTAAAATATGACAAAATCAGAACCAGAAACAAAAGCGATATGGTTCAAAAGACTAGAAAAGACTGGAATGGTGGTTTGATGCTCACTTTTTCGGAAAATCCTTCTCAGTTTGCATTGCGCGATGACTGGAAGTCCAAAATTCGTGATGTATGTATACAAAGTGAATTGAGGACAGAGTCGATGGAGCCATGCTCACTAGCGGGTTAGCTATGTCCATTTATGTAAACAGTCTATGACAATCCTGGAAAAAAAGTTTAAGTCTTTATGTTGCATTTTGGGACGACAGGATTATTCTAACGCTTATTCAAGTGAACTAGTAATGTGCCAATGGGTTTGAGAACAATTTCATTAGATTTAAATACATCTTTCATTTACAGTTTGAAAATCTGGTACCTCAGCTGTTCTGTCAATCTTTTATACAAGCCCATTCTTTAAATACAAGCCTATGGGCCACTTTGGGTTTTATCATGAATTTCCCGTATAGTATTCATATTTCCTCGGTGTCCCTGAGATGAGTCCTTCAATAGATGACATGCATATGAAATTCAGCCTATTAAAATTTTGATAAACCTCTACTGTATAAATGTCTGGAGCAAATCTTTCCTCTTTCTTTGGAGAGGTCGCTTATACATCACTGTCATTTAAATCAAACCTAGTAACTGTGGATAAGACCTAATTATGACAAATGACTGATGAAGGCATTACGGAGTCAGAATATTCTATGCGTTCCTATCTGGGAAATCAAAGCCAAAGAGCTTAAATTTGTGATGCCAGTGTGATGTGCCTTATCTTATTTCAGTATATCAACACATGTGTTTGGGGGAGGATGCACTCATGAATAAATATGTAGTCTTTGCTTGTCTGGGCCTACATAAACATTTTATCACCATCATTTTTTCTGTCCAAATGAGCATGCTGTGGCTGCATAGGTCTGATATATGCCCAGTCTATTCAAATTAGGGGATTCATTAATGATATGTCCCACTGACCCAGAAAATAATAATAATAGAAATAAATGTTGAAGATGGTTAAATCTGAAAATGCTTATTATTCCAATGCTTATTATTCCAATTCTAATGCAAAGCATCTGAGCAAGCATCTAAGAATCAGTGTACTCGCAATATCTACACCAAGTTCTAATAAAGTGGGATTTCAATTTAAAATATAATATAGTTTCTTATAGTGTGAGAATTCTAGCATGTATTTATTGGTAATGACAATCAGAAATTGGTATCACATAGAATAAAAGAAATATGATGTTTACTTGATGCATTATTCACCAGTATTAAAAATACTAATATTATATTTCAGTCACATGTGGTTGTAAATGGAGGGACTGGTCTCCATTTAAAATGTTAAAATAATCTACGGTCAGCATACCCGCAGAAAATTTAGAACCTCTCCAAACTCTCTGAGAACTGGTATTTTTTAAAGGTTTCTAAAAGACTTACTGGTTGATGATTTGTTGAGTACTTTGGCACATCTGTTGTTTAAAATGTGCTGTATAAACAAATTGGCTTGGCTTGGCTGTAACTAGCTGGCCCTTGCGTCCATATAACCCAAAGTGACATGCTCCAGCACCAGCACCATTTGAATTAACACCTCTTGTTTATATGAATCTAAATGTATTATTGGGACCTGTTTTAACAACACACTTAGTCAATAGATTTTTGCAAATTATTCACTTGCAGATTGTCTGCAATAATGAGTTAACTGAAGTAATCAAAAGTGTAATCACCTACTCGCCAGCTCAATATGGCTGCATGTACAGATGTCCAATAACATAAAGATCCCATCACCGCGTGACATCATTCCTCCATGCAGGTCGGCACAGCTACCAGATCAATCAGCGCAAAAATTAACCTGAAGAGAATTTTCAATTTCGCATTTGCCATATTGATTGGAAATCGAGTCAATTACGTCGGACAACATGAGATTGAATGCAAGGATCTATACTGCTATGTGCCCAGAAAACACATTCTATTATCATCGCTGGGTAACCACATTAGATATGATCAATTGGGGGATTAGTAACATTGTTTATGCTTCAGAGAACAAAATGTGGACAAAATAACAAGGCTTGAACATTAGGGCATGTCCATAACAGCCTATTATGGGTTTGTTTGCGGCTGGCTCCACAAACCTGCCATTGTAATCTTGTGGCTTTTTGTGAAAATATATATTGAGTTTTGTTTATTTCTGCTGATAAAGAAGACTTTAAACTTTGTGCCAGTTTTTGTTTCACGTGGACAGAGATATTAAAGGTCCTGTATTACACAAAATTGACTCTTGTGATCTTAAGGCATGTTATAATGTTGTTACCCCATCAAAAACATAGCCAGATTTGTTTTTTTGTTTGTTTGTTTTTTTGTTTGTTTTGTTTGTTTTATTATTATTTTTTATTAGTCTTGTGATGTCATGTAGTGGTATTTTCAAGTTAACAGCTACATTTTACCTTTTGTTTAGTAGAGATTGGCAATTCCAGGGTTGAAATTATCCAAATGATTCTAGTGAAGGTATATGGCGTTTAAAAATACAGTGGAGCACTTTCTGTATTAGCACTTAACATCACAAGGAACAGAGTGTTTTCAGAGTGTTTCTAAATATGCAGGCTTTGGGTGTTAAACATGTGTGAATGAAAGAAAACACAACTCCAGGTCTGTTTGTGATGAGGAAACAACATTATAACATAGATCAGAAAATATACGGGCCCTTTAAGCATAAACCAGACTATATCATCTCCAATCTGATTCAAAAGTTAAACTCTTAATTCTACCACAGACTTGTGACGTGTCCTCCAGCTCAGTTTTATAACAGGGTTTCCAGAATGTTGCGATGTCACATGAACATAACTGATTTGTCTGTGGGGATGTTGAGACTGAACTGTAGCGGTTTTGTTTTCTAACATCACTGTTTTTAATCTGCTTTTTTAGAGCTTATGAAACTAATCGTGACACACTGTGACACTGCAATGGTTTTTACCATATGGTTTATGCAACTGTGAGTCAGCAGCATGGGCCGGGAAAGTACAAAAAATAAGAGAGGTAAAAGTAGGTGCTGTTTGTAGAAGTGCTTTTTATATGGCAAAATGTATCACTGACATTGCTATTTCATATTTAGATTATGTACTCTGGTTGAGTTGTGTGTTATACAGAATACTTTTATTTAATTATCCATTTAAAGAAATTAATCCCGTGAGTAATAATAGTAAATGTGTGAGCTCATAGGTAGATTTGTTTACTTCAGAAAAAAAAAAAAAAGATATAGATAAATATAAGATATATAAGATATGGGTAATTTTACATGAAAACAATCAAGTCTCAGTACACTCCATTTCCATCTCAGGAACATAATACTAGCAAACAAGGAAGCATTCACATCCTTTGGGAGGACATCTGAGCCTTGAAAACTGGCATCTCAGTCTGCCACTTCTATTTCAGCCATCACAGGAAACACGCGCACCCATAGTCGCTGTCGCCACTGAACATAATCTATATCTTAGAGGTGATTTGGGGGACACATCATAATAGGCTGTTGCCTGATTTAACCCATTGTAGCCCATGACAGTGAAGTCAAATCATTGCTTGTGGAGGCATAATTGATCTTGAGAGGGCATGGTAATTGACCTTGCCTGGGAGGACAGGGTGGTTTGGGTGCTGAGCCAGCAGGAGTGGGGATCTGAAAGAAATGCCACAGTGATAAGGATGAATTAATGTTGTATTTTAGCAATAATGTAAAAAAATGGAAATATATAAACTATATTTCATCATTTGGTCCTTTTGGAATGTATTTCCAATACAACACTTAAAATAGCCTGAATATATTGTGTAAGCCTGTTATTACCAAACAAGACAGTAACCCCATCCTTACACGTGGCCAGAAACAACGGAAGTGGTTGGAGAGACAGAGAGTCTCCACATCATCACCAGCATCACCAGAGGCTGGCATCATTACGCACTGTCAGGCTTTGACGTAGAAACAGAATATCAAGCTATTTCTCGCCAGTGTTGTTCATGGTCATTCTATTTGGAAACTGTATCTAGACAAAATATTGAGATATATGCTACATAAATGAAAAAAAAAAAAAAAAAAGAAAGAAAAAGAAAAGTGTAATTTCAGTTTGGAAATAAGCGTATGTTATATTTTTAGAATTACCATCAGTACGCAGCGCATTTCTCTCAAGTACGAGGTCTTCTGGCGGTTCAGGTTTATGTGAGGTAACAACTGCAGCTGCTGCATTCAGGTGGTAGCGCTGCAGTGTGGACCTGATGAGCTGGTACAGAAGGACCGGGAACGTCCTGTTCATGCATTTGGCGCGTGATATAGCCTAATTATAAGCTGTTCGGAAAAGCTGCCATCTATCTGTGAAATGTGGTTAAACGGAGAGGTAAACAGATGAACAATTTTAATTTCTCCTAGAATGGGAAGAATGGGAAAGTGACTACAACGTACAGTGGCCAAATCTGGAGCCGATGGTACTATAAATAAAATTGGCGTCCTGACTGACTACGCACAAACGAGTCGGAAGAGGGCAGTGATAGTAGGAGGAGGTTTCCTCTCGCTCATCGCTGATCTGAACAGGGCCATCTCCTCTCCTCCCGTTTCCACCAATGAGCCCAATGAGCTGAGCGCGCACCGCCCACTGTCGGCGTGTGTATTTTTTCTGCTCCTTCCCTTCTCTTTTTTTCGTCTACACCAGAGCTGGATGTGTAGATCGTCACATGTTGTTCCCCTTCTTGGTTCGCACACTAGCAGACATGTGTTATTTATTGCCCAGCTGGGAAGACGGACGGACGCACTACCGGCTCTCGTAGAGGATTAAAATAACAACTCAACGAAAAGGAGCGTTTTATCCGAAAGTGAAAGACGAGAGAATGGCGAGTCCGCCAAACACGGGAGATCAGCCGATATTACCCAGCAATACGAGCGCGAAGGTGAAGAAGTGCGGCTATTTGAAGAAGCAGAAACACGGTCACAGGCGCTTTTTCGTTTTGAAGGATCAGAGTGACGGCTTCCCTGCGCGACTGGAGTACTACGAGAGCGAGAAGAAATGGAAAAATAAGTCGTCCGCAAAGAGAGTTATACCGCTGGACTCCTGTCTGAATATCAACAAGAGAGCGGACGCCAAATACAAGTATCTCATTGCTCTTTACACCAAGGACGAGTATTTCGCTGTTGCTGCAGAGAACGAGCAGGAGCAGGAGAGCTGGTACCAGGTTTTAACAGATTTAATGTCAGAGGGAAAAGTCTATGACGGCTCCGCGTCAAACTCTGCGTCCTCGCTCGTGGGCTTTGACGAGGCGAGCTACGGTGTAATAACGCCGGTGTCTGCAGCCTATAAGGAGGTATGGCAAGTCAACTTAAAATCTAAAGGCTTGGGGCAGAGCAGAAATTTGACAGGGGTTTACAGACTGTGTTTGTCCAGTCGGACTATCAGTTTTGTGAAGCTCAACTCGGAGGTCGCCTCCGTCATTCTCCAGCTAATGAATATACGGAGGTGCGGCCACTCTGACAGCTTTTTCTTCATTGAGGTTGGTCGCTCTGCTGCCACGGGTCCCGGGGAGCTGTGGATGCAGGCAGATGACTCTGTGGTTGCGCAAAACATCCACGAAACTATTTTAGAAGCAATGAAAGCCATGAAGGAGCTGTCGGAATTCCGTCCGCGCAGCAAAAGCCAGTCATCCGGGACCAACCCCATATCTGTGCCCACACGGCGGCACCTGAACAACCCCCCTCCCAGCCAAACAGGGCTTCCCCGTCGGTCACGCACTGACAGCATGGCCGCCACTTCACCAGTGAGCAAATTCTCCTCGTGTAGAATACGCACAGCCAGCGAGGGCGATGGCACCATGACACGCCCCTTATCCGTGACGGGTAGCCCCTTAAGCCCCGGGGTCCATCGGACACTCTTGAGCAGGTCTCACACCATCACAACACGCCCCACACGGACATTTGAGTCTTCGTCCCTCCAGCACAGTAAATCTATGTCAATGCCACTGTCTCACTCCCCACCCATGGGTGCCCCCAGCCTTGTGAGCCTGTCATCCTGTCCTGATAGCAGCGCGCCTCGCCCGTCCAGCTGTACTGCCTCTTTCTCCGGCTCTCCCAGTGACGCTGGCTTCATCTCCTGTGAGGAGTATGGCTGTAGTCCTGCAGATATGAGGGACATCAGGTTACCCCTCTCTGTGCGCAGCAACACCCCCGAATCTATCAGAGCAGACACACCCCCATCCCGGGACGGCAGTGAGCTTGACGGCTACATGGTGATGGAGCGGCAAAACCAGAATGGTCACAGACGGGTCCCAGAACTAGATAAAAGTTACCGTAAACGCACTTATTCTCTCACTACCCCTCGCCAGCAGAGGGGTCCTCCACAAGTGTCCTCTGCTTCACTGGACGAGTACACTCTAATGAGGGCAACAAACACCAGTGGCAGTCAGGGCTCTCGCAGGTGCCACACGACCTCTCCTAAAGGGACTCATCCGGACGACTACAGGCCAGTTCAAATGAGCACTGACAGCATCCCTGATGAGAATGGCTACATGCCCATGATGCCAGGTGTGGCACTGCAGACACCAAGGCCTAGGGAGGACTCCTACATGCCAATGAGTCCTATGTGTATCTCTGCCCCAACAGATCATTAACCCACGCTCACACTCCTCAACTGTGCTGGCCCCACGCACTGACTCCCCTGGGAGTGTCTCACTGGAGGACAGTGGCTACATGCCGATGTGGTGTGGGGCCCGTATGTCTGTAGACAACACAGAAGGAAAGGTCTCAAATGGAGATTACCTGAACATGTCTCCAGTGGACCCGTTGGTGTCTTTTACCCCTCCAGATTACATCCTCAGCCCCACAGAGCCCCACCCTCGACAGGCCTTCTCTCACAGCTCTCTCTCACATGCACTTAAGGGCCCACTGCAGAGGAAAGGCTCCACAGACTCAGACCAGTATGTGCACATGTCCATACAGAAACAGAGGATAGAAGAGGAGTCGAACCCCTGTCCTACATCTGTGGGAGAGTCACTCACCACTGCATCTCTTGAGCATGGCATCCTGTACACCATTCAGAATAGCTCGGTCTGAGGGGGGCCTGAGCCATAGGAACAGGGCGTGTCGTCCCACACGTCTGGCACTGGAGTCTCTCAGAACTTTACCCTGCATGAGTGAGCACCCCCTGCCTTCAGAGCCCCGCAGCCCCGGAGAGTATATCAACATTGACTTCAGCACTTCAACCCGTGAGTCTACTGCCCCCCAATCCTCTGATGGTTATATTGGCTCCCCAAAACACCGGCCTCAGGCCCTGAGCTCCCCTCTCCTGCTCAGTGAACAGCAGGGGCTCAAACAGGAAAGTGACCTGAGTGTGGAGACAGAGGCTCAGGTGGGATGTCAGCCAGCCCCGGTTAGGGACGATTACACAGAGATGTCTTTTCCTCCTGTCTCCATCCCTGCCCTTCCCACCAGCCCCACCACCTGTGTTCAGAGACTCAGCCTGGATAACCCTCTGGTGGAGGAGGTACCCCCAGCTCCAGTGGACTCTTTTCTCTCAGGCGCTCCATCTTTATCTGTGAACCTTTTAGATCCCCACAGAGGAGCCAAAGTGATCAGGGCAGACCCCCAAGGTCGGAGGAGACACAGCTCTGAGACCTTTTCCTCCACCACCACTGTAGCACCTGTGTGCCCATCCTTTGCACCTGACATCAAGAGGCACAGTTCTGCTTCTGTTGAGAATGTATCACACAGCGTTCATGCCTCGGATGGACCGGACATGGAATATGGCAGCCCCATGTGCAGGGAGACCTCAGCTGGTTTTCAAAACGGACTAAACTACATTGCCTTAAACTTAATGGAGGGAAATCTTGGAGCATGTGATGGACTTCTAAGATTCAAGGCTGCATGTGGCTGCAAAGGAGGGATGAACGGATTCAACACAAGCCCCTATGCCAGCCTGGGATTCAAAGAAACCGCTACTGCTGTGAAAGGTGAGCATTTTTCTACAACTCAAGTATTCATTCATAAAATGAGTGGGGTAGAGGCCTGCCTGTGAAGTCAGGGCTACTATGCTCACAGCAAAGAGATTTGGCAGGCTGCCTGTTGCCATGGTGATGCTAAACCAATTGTAATTTTACTCTAGTAATGATTGTTATTTGTCTTTATCTACTACTACTTAACAATGCACAAATTTCCCAGCCTACTACGCATCACTGACACAGCTTGTATTTGGATTGTTTAAATTAAACATTTAAATCCATAAAATACTGTGGGAAGTGGACTTGTTATGCTCCAGGGTGTAGGCTGTGATGTTTAGATAGGATTAGTCACCTACCGTCACACCCCTGACACACAAATCTAAAGGCTAAGGGGATATGTTTACTATTGCTAATGAGATTCAAGGAAGTCTGTTATTTATCATCGGCAAACAAACACTGTCAAGTTATCTGTACATCCAAACTTTTATTTTGAAATATGAGAGCTGGGTGTCTTATTTAGTTTAGGCTAGCTTGATATCACTGCTGCTGCCTATTTGTATGAATGGTCTGCTCCAGTCTGCCCCTCGCTGACGCACTTTCACTACAACGTCAGTGTTTCAAAATCCTCTGATTCTAGCACAGTGACGCATGAAGCAACGTGGATAGAAGAAAATCGTTATATGAGTAGAAATTGCCTTTCTATTTGGTGTTAATATTTTAATGAGACCCTTATAGCTGTGAATATTACTTGAGCAAGAGAGCACAGAGCAGCATGGCACAAGTTGCTGCAAAGAAAAGGTCAGAATGAATCAGAAATCTGTGAAATGTAAGATTTAATTGCGGCTTGGTCATACTTTTGTGTTTGTGAATTGACTTTTGTTGAATAGGCCTGGTGGTAACTAGCGCAACAGGGCATTTGGTACAAAAGTGATAGAGTTCACCAGAAAAACAAGTGAGTCAGTTGTTGTGCACCAATTGTCAGGTACTAGGTTTCAGGGCAGGAATGCAGGGCAGTGTGCAAAGGTTGTTGGGAGACATGAATGCTCATTTTGTTTGGTTTGTGTTGTGGGAGTTGGAAAGAGTTGGGGACTTTGTGGAATTGTGGTACAATTTATTCTACATGTTACAAGATACAGGATTTTTTAATACTAGAAAAACCTACACGCTTTACTCGCCTAAACAGGAGTAAGATAGGATTTAACCTGCCCTAAGCTATGTGTATCCGGGGCTGAATTGTGTCTAGGTATATTGTGTCATCATATTTGACTCCAAACATGTGGCACCCTTCCACCCATTGTCTCCTAACACCTATGTCCTTTCACCTTTTATGTTTTTTGAAAAATAATATGCAAACTCCAAAGCTTGGTAGGACAAGTTTGACCAAGGCTATGAAAGTGGAGGAGGGTTAAATACAATGGTGGTGAAGGTTGAATGGTTTGTTTGGTTTTTCAGTAGCAACTACTAGTATGGGAATGAGGAAGTAAGACATGACAATTATGTGCCACTCTCTATTATTCATTATGTAATTTTTTTAAACAAAGGTGTGGAATAGTAATCTTAATCTTCAAATAGTTGTTTATGTAGTGGCAAAGAGTTGATGACTAATCCTGGTTTGAGAAAAACAAATAATGTGTTATGACAGTGATGGAGAGGGAATGAACTTTATCCTTTCTAATTGGTAAAATGCAAATTCACTTGCATATCCGGTTACCTCAAAAAAAGGTTAGTCCGTTAGATGACTGATGGGTGAGACACTGTTGTGTTTGGGTTTGGGATTGACATGAAGAGTACTACTGAAGGAGGCACCGGGGAGGCAGGAGGGAAGAGCCTTTTATTTGGTTTGCAATGCACACTCTCTGTCATGACTCCCAATGTCAGCTTTGTGACCTTTGAACTAGTAATATTTAAGAAAAATCAAGAGAAAACTGATCAACCCATATACTAGATTATAGTCAAGAGGCAGATTTATGTTTAATCTGTACTATATTATTTTTTAATTATTGTTATTGACTGTTTTGAAGCTTATACCTTCATACAAGTATCTAGTTAATATGCAGTTTTTACCATATGTTGCTCTCTAATACTGTAATGATCTCGTGTTAGTGGAGAAAACTCGATTCACCCCATCAATGATTTTATTTACACACCTAGAAAGAACCTCCCCCCTTTTTTCTTGAGCCCACCCCAAGTCACATTTTCTTCACGTACATGCACGGGCCTCAGCAGATGGTGAAGAGTGGGGGGAGAGGGGGAGAGAGAGTCAGAGGGTTTTTGCACCTGCCTCGCCAAGCACTGCTCACTGGTTATCTGGCCCTTCACTGACAATACGCTAATGACTGGCCACCATCTGCCACAACAACAACACGAGAGAAGGTGGGGGCGTGGCCAAGCAGCCTTTTATATTCCAAGAAACCCTAAACCCCTCCCCCCTCCTTCAGTTCTCCAGGCCTTGGTTTCTGTTTTTCAGAAATCATGTGATTTTTGCCCCCTGCTCCCAAACACACATACACACCTCCCGACTCTGTTTTCTGACCTCAATGCACTGTCTCCATCAAGAATTGGTACGGGAAATAAGATGCTAATAAGATGCTAGTTTGTTATTTCTGATTTGTCACATAGTACTGCACTTGCAATAACAACCAGTCCTGAAGAAGTCTCAAGATTATGCTTATCAAGTGGTTGATAAGATAACATATTCATAACAAAAACAAATCATTTTGTATTTTGCCCAATATTTAAAATCAAAGACAACAACAACATTCTGCAAAAAAATACACACAAAAATATGTATTTACTTGGTTAGGTGTTGCGTTTTTCACCTCCCTATCCTATGTCCATATGAAGCCCATCTTAATGTCAGTGCATGTTTACTTGCATCGTTTTGTCAAATTCAGCATGCACCTCTCACCTGTTTCATAGCCCCTCCCCTCTTCACTAGACACACATTCAGCAGCTCCTATCTGATACATAACTCTTGTGCGAAGTAGGGCGGGATGTTCCAGCTCTAGATAACAACAAAGTCAAACCTAGCGTATCCTTAATTTAGCTTAGAGGGAAAACGGATTACATTCACTTCGGGATTAAGACATTGTTCAGTAGCTTGTTTTGTCTGTGAGCTAGAAGAGTGTCTGTGGGGCTGTAGTGTGTGTAGTGCACTCTGTGTAGCCTGTTTAAATACACAGACACACCTCAGAGGCTCAGGTGGCTTCTACGTGTTAAAAAAAAGCTCCCATTCATAAACTGTCAAAACTTTATGCTGTATTTGCTTTGTGTTGCTTCCCCAAGGCGTTGCTGCGTGGGAATTGTCATAGAGTGGAAATACATTAGGCAACTGTTTACTTACAGTAGCAGTGGCTCTGTGGCAATACCTTGTAATGTTGAGCAATGTGCAGGACAAAGATACCACGTATACGACATAATGATAGATGATATAAGTTTATGTACATAGTCATATCATAATAGCATTCTGTTTACAGGAATGGATGTTTATTTTGGAAAATAACAGTAATTAACAAACAGATTAAACAGTTTTATTTACAATAAAAAGTGAGTAATATAAAACAATTAAGGTAACAAAAATTCTGTAGTTTAAAGGGCCCATATTATGCTATTTCTGATCTAAGTTATAACATTTTTCCCTCATCAAAAACATACCTGAAGTTGTGTTTTGTTTTTCATTCACACGTTTAACACACAAATCTTGCATATTTAGGCTGAGTTCTTCCCTCAAATGGAAAACATTGTTCCACCTTGTGAGTGGTTTAATAATTCCAGCCCTGGAATTGCAAACCTCTTCTGATCTAAAGGTAAAATATAGCTGTTAACTTGAAAACTAATGCTTCATGATATCACAAGGTGGAACAGAGCATTTTGAGTTTGGAGATTAAGACAAACTAATAATAAAGGGTTATTCGGACATGTTTAAATGAAACAAAACACAACTCCAGGTATGTTTTTGAGGAGGTAACGACATTATAACATGGCTTAAAGCTCACAAGAGTCCATTTTCATAGGACCTTTAAAAACAATATACCCTTGTGGTAAAAACCCAAGTTAAGTGCGTTGTTTTTGTTTTGGTGGTCGAGACCAGAAGTGGAGAGGTCAGAGGTCGCGAGTCAGTCACTGCCTGGCCGAATGGCGTAGCTCAGGGAGGAGTCAGAAGGGAGCAGGAATGTAAACAGCTCCGATCTTCAGCTATAGACGACAAGGGGGACACTAGCATTAACTTATTTGCCAACCAATTTAAAGAATATAAAAAACAATGCCTGGGTGATTAATTTCCCTGGATGCTAGTGCTATTTAAAAACAGCTGGAGCGGTTTTCCTCCAAAGGAGCCATTTATTTAGCTACGACAACAAGAACTACTCGAGCAGGCATATTAGTAGACATGGGGATGTTTACTCTGCTCTTCCAGCTTTGGAGATGGAGCCACGCTAATACACCTCTTTGTGTGTGTGTCATAGACCTGAATGGAACATGGCTAATTTTAGCTTGTGAGAACTAAATAAATAATGAAGACAGGCTTGGTGTGTTTGTGTGAGTTTGGACAGGGGGCACCCATGTGTAATCGAAGAGGGGAGGGGGCTTTAGAGGGAGGGAGTGGAAGGAGCCATTGAGTTCACTCCCTGTCAGATCTCTGCCCTATCCTCTCAATAACACCCCCCTCTACCCACCCAAAATCTTACTTGCCACCCACAAGCTTTCTTCTGATACGTGTTTCAATAGCAGTGTGGGTGGTGCGTGGATGGACCCTATGCCTGACCATTGCTCAGTGGTTAAATTATAATGGTCAAAATTAGATCTAAAGAAAAATATTACTTAATCAGACTTAGACTTAGACTTAATCAAGTCTTAATAAACCTTTTTACTATACTTTGATTAGCCTTAATAAAGCATCAATTTAGGATTTAGGGTTTGGTTACTAATTAAGTCCTATGCCTGAATCATTGTTAGTAAACTATTCAATATGGATTATTGATTTATTCATGCTTTATTCAGTGTAATTTAAGTGTAGTTATTATGAAGTGAAATTAATAATCAAAATCTATGTGTCAAATAGATAGGGTTATAAGGGATAGCAGCAGCATGAAAACATCAATACATTCTTAAGGCAATTCAATAGCTGCATTTGATTTGTGCTCCAAAAACCAAAAGTATCATTTTGCCCCAGATTAATGTAAAGTTATGTAAGGCGTCTGACGTACTAATATTACAAACAACATACCAAAATATCAAAAATATTGTTCAACTCTTTACTCCTATGTACTCTATATCTCCACCTGGTTCCTAATCAGTAAGTGATTCAGCCTGCTTCCCGATCCTTCTCAGTCATTCTCACCCAAGTGTCTGGCTCCATGGTTCCCCCCTACACACACACACACAAACACACACACACACATACACAAGCACATACACGCACACACATACGTAGACCCTGAGTCCCATGACCTCACTGCATTCCCGGTGCTGCCTGTCAGGTTGATTCTGTTACTGTGCTTTTCCACCACACTCTCTCCCACCCAACTGTTTCTATTTTGCCCTGTGCCATGTAGACCCTTCTCCGGTGGTCCTAAATGTGGGTCTTGTACAGTAATTTTGAGTTATGCTGTATAGTTGAATCCTCACAAATGCTCCTATTTATTTAGTTTATTTATGAGACAGGGGCAGTGCACGATATACATTAACCCTAACAGGAGAGATGCACTAGAGCTAATTTCCATCTTATGCCATATTGCTATTAACACCATGAAACTGTACCTTTTGCGCTTGGTGATATGGTGGTAACAGTTAAAGTGTTATCTCATCCCTTCTACAATATGCTATTTTAGTCTGTTTCTCCATTTAATGCAGCTGTCTGCTCAAACAGACCTTTTTTTGTACCCACTTCTTCTGCTGGTCGACCTCTATAAGGCTCTGAGTGAGAAACGCAGGATGCAGTCAATCACAGCGAAGTGTGAACTTTAGATTTACTTTTTCTAGGCAATAAAAAATATAAACTGTAAAGGAATCATGATGAATAAAAGGAAAATCTTGTTAAAATTAAGATCATTATTTAAAATTTCTGCGAGCTCACAAATGCAGAAAGTGATTTGAATAGTTTGGGCAAGTGTTTATACCAGTTGTGATACTACTACTCCTACTGCTAATTACCAATACTACAACCACTACTATTATTTACTATTTGTTTCCAATAATACAACTGCTTCTGCTACTACAGCTACTACACTTTCCATTTTAATATTTAACAGTCAACTCTTGGTCTTGGCTTTGGAGATCAATTCTTAACTTGCTGATTGTTTATAAACTAGGCTCAGTTTCTTCCGCTGTGAGTGAGAGGGGCGGGCAGTGAGAACAGACGTGCATGTGTTGGTGTTTGGTGGGAGTCACTGAGGAGGGGTACAACAGCGCGCCTCGTGAATGGGAGGTTTGTTGTAGAGAATGGCCATCGCATACAGCTTTGTGAAAACAGCTCTTGTGTTGGCTAAGGGAGAAAGATGAGGAGACCGGATCGCACTGGGGGAAAAGAGAAATGCAGGCCCTATGTGTGACACTTCCGCTCCCATTTGATCGCCACATGCAAATGAAACCACACAAACAAGTACACAGGGTCAGGGGTCGGCGCCGCTTTCCACTGGGGGAAAAGGCAACACTTTGAAGAGTCTGGGTTGGTGGTGGCGGAGGGAGGTTTGGGCAACACAATATGAGAAAACACATCAGCAACATGGCAACAATGTTATTATTATAGTTTGATATTTGGATGAGGGTTGCAGAGCTTTGAAATCGAATTCTGATTTCTGACCAGTATTGCAATTGTGATTTAGGTTAGCCAATTGCGGTATGTTTAAAAAGTGGGATTCAGTCAGCAGTGCACATTTTCAACACACCCATGAGCACATATCAGAGAGAAATTAAATATAAAGTGCTAAACTAATACAAGAATCCCATGTACTTCACAGCAGTTTGCAAAAGTTTAAACATGAGGGCAAACATTTTTCCCCTAAATTGACAGGATACTTTGTTGTTTCTTGTGGACATTCTATTACCCACAAAAATTGTGACTTCTGTGACTTGGTTATTGTACCAATTGCAATTTTGATTCGATTGCAATATATTCTGCTGCTCTAATTTAGAGTTGACATAGTTATTTTTTTCAAAAACAACCCTACATATACATAATATTGTCCAGTTGCACAAGAGAAACAACAAAATTTTTGACATTTACTGAGAAAATGTACAAGCACTGAATTCCAATAATGGGTGTATTATTCCAACTTTATTGACAAAGGCGTGTTTTTGTTATGAAATGTGGCAATGAAAAAATCCTCCTGTACATCATGCAACCCGAATGGAAATAGGCAGCTATAGTCGTATGTTTGTGTGCAAAACATATGACAGTTTGGTGTATTGTTTTGGTGGTTAGCGGTGGGGGTACCTGCATTGGGAGGGGGGCTGTTATCACTAGAGACCGCTCTGTGTCAGCTGCGCAGTGCTGCTAAATGCCAGTGTGTTTATGTCCCGCTGTGAGAGCACCTGCTGTACCAGAGCCTATGTACGAGGGACACAAACAGTGGAGGAGAGCCACTTTAATGACGGCTCACTCCCACTCGTAGTGAAGGGGGAGGGGCCTGTGCTGTTGACTCTCGGACACAAACAGGTTAGGCACTGAAGGAACAGCTTTCATGTATTTTATAGTATCAACAGTGGTTCAGCGTGAGCCTGAACTCCATATATGGTTACAGGGCTTCCCAAGAAAATATGCTAATGCAATTTAAAGCAAAGTTGGTGACATTTCCCCTCACCATTTGAACTACTAAACTGATTAAATGCTCCAAATGTGTATTAATGGGTTTCGATAAGCCAGCCTTAACAAAAGTAAAATAATAAAGTAAATATAAAAAAAAAAACTATGTACTAGTTTTGAATATGACAAAATCATAAACTGTCAATGGTGTGTTCGTATGAAGTAAAACCACTAACATATGTTTCCTTTCTTATTTTCCAGAATGAAGACGGAGGGTCACCCCACGCCCCCGTTCTCCTTGTTACCACGACGACAGCTGGACCATTTGCTGCAGCCCAAGTCCTTCGACCTTTGACCTTTATGCCGCCTTTGAGGGTCATGGGGACGGCCATCGTCATGACAACACAGACACTTGACCCTTTCCCCCAAATTTTTCCCTCTGTTTTTCTCCACACCAAAACATTGAGGCGCCATCTCTGCTGCTGTTATAGAGTACTTAACCAGGACTGAAATGGACTTGGGATTTAGAGTATTTATATCTGTTAGACCTGCAAACCTCTCTGCAGTATACGATGTTATTTACCATTGTTCACTTTTAACTGGTTGGTAGCCAGAAGACCCTTGCATGAAAATCTGTGAACCAAACCTGGAGAACACATGCAAAAAATGCATACAGATTCCATATATTTATTTATTTATCCAGTATGTATGCCTCTGAAGAATGTGTGAATTTCTAAAGAGATTATTCTGCAAAAATGGCATTTGTGAAGATTTTAAGATCAGTTTTGCTTAAAGAAAACCTACCTCACCATTTGCCGGGTTGGTACCAGTTCACACAGACAAAATTATAATGAATATTATATGATCATATTTATTTTCAGAAGTGAATGTTTTTAACTCACCAGTCCAAAGCCTTACCCATCCACCGGGCCTCTTCTGGTGGATAATTTTTTTTAGTTTGGACCTATAAACACGCAGTATATCAAAGATCACTTAAGACTGAATGTTTGGCACAGTAGAATGAGATTTATTTTGTTTTCATTAGAACAGTGAAATGTATCCAGAGCAGAGTAATATATTTATTCAGATGACAGCAAAAGAGTAGGAAGTGCTGATTCATACACACTTGGATGGAGAGGATTAAGCTGTATGTCATGGGTTAGCCTAGCGTGTCCTTGGTCGACCCTGAGTTCACATGTAACTGGTCTCCCATCTCTGCACCTTCAGCACTCTCACTCCGGTGCCCACTCATTCACGGGACAGGAACAAACAAAAACACTCATTAGTAGTTAATGAACGACTAATACAGAATGGCTCTCGTCTCAGCGATGCCCACCAGATGATGGCTGGGGCAGGTGGGGGCGGGGCCTATTAGTGCGGTCAGGGCAGGACACTTACCCTTGGACTGAGCCACTCCTGTAGCTAAGAGGCCGCAAGACAGGCCGGGCGCGCCACAGCTAATGCACGGTGTTGCACTTACCAAGTTTCTCGATTGTAACACAAGACACGTTGAATGTAATATTTGTTCCAAGCCTGGGAACATCAGCGTCAACGGATACCACCGCCACAACACCTACTAAACACAGGGGTAGATTCTATAACAGACACAAATTATTCTCCATCGTTTGCAAAGAGAAACATACCAGGGGACGCATCTTAATTTATCTGAATTCACTGGTACTTAACCTTCGCCTATATATTGTACATAGTGTGAGAATTCATTGCTGCAGAAGCGATGTTAAGTTAATAAGTTATGTTTGTTTTGTATATATCCTTGTATGTGTTTGAGTGAACTTTCTGACAACAAAAGCACTAATTGTTAAGTTATATGCTAACCTGAACGGTTTAGCTCTGATTTTTTAAAAACTCTTGTGAAACAAATGCCACTATGAGGACATTTTCTATTGCGGTTCTAAAAACGACTTTCAGATAAATTCTTGTTACTTGACACAATTAATTGTTATAGGTACAACACAAATGGCATATATGCAATATTTACACTTTTTTGAAAATTAGTTTACAAAGACATACCAAATGTATGAATTTAATTAATAATATTTGTTAAAATAAAATTATTGCTGTTTGTACATTTCTTCTTCGAAATTGACGTTTTGTTTGTTTTTGCTAATTAAGCCTATTGGTGTTTTAAGCAGTGTTTTTTGCATTTGGATAATGTTTTTATCGCCATCTAAAAGGTTACAGTATGGGCTTCTCTTGCTGTGTCTTCTCATTGTAAATATTTCATACGGATTGAATATTGTGATGCTACTAAGAGATGATAATTTTAACTTAATTCATTGCTTTAGATTGTACCAAGTCTTTATAGACACATGCAATAAATAATGTTATTTAAGAAATCTGTGTATTTGCCCTTGTTTTTGTCCTGTGTACCATATATCAGAAATTCACTGAGCTTTTCATGCCTTGTTTGTATAGTCGGCAGCAGATGTTTTAAAGCCACACTCCTCCCTTTTGAGAAATTGCACAAGGAGGGTGTAGGCATATATAAGCTAGCGGAGCCTTCAGCATTAGCATTGTTATTGTTTTTATACTAGGCTCCAAGGCCCCACCCCCTGCAATAGTAATTAGACCAGCGTGTTGAAACAGTCCCCCAAACAAACGGGCCGGGGAGGGAGCTACATTGATAGGATTATAATTTTGTACCCTTAGCCATATGCTGTCAGATTATTCATTCTCACAAGTCTGTTAATTAAAATGGTAATTAATGCTGTGAAATAGGTCTAATTGTCTGGGGCAGCCTAGTGTGTTTAGCTTTGTGTGCCTACATGCTCGTACTCCATACTCAATAGGAGAGGGGGTAGTGAGCTGGGGACAGGGAGATGGGGAGAGGAACAGCTGTAAGAATAGGACATTTCACACACAGTTTAAAGACCACAATGATGGATGAGCTTGCCTGAAGCTGTTCTGATGTTTGTCTGCACCAATTTGATCCTTTGTCTACTCCAGATATTAAGTAAAAGCTGTCATCACAATAGTTAATATTAATTACGCGATAGGATTGCAGTAATATGGTCCATAAATAAAAGATCAAATATACCACATAAAATGCAAAGAATAACATAGGCTACTACTACAAATATTACCATTACCACTACTACTAATAATACTCATTTATCATGTCTATTTGATCTTAAGTATTATTTCAACACCACATTACTGCTGGATTACTATAAAAACTAAAGTAAGCCTACTTTGGTTACTATATTGCCAGTAATACCACCAAGTATTTGTTTTAACATGTACTATACTTTTGGAGGGTGATCACCTGCTTGTCATAGAGACATTATTGCTTCACCTGGGATCTTCCACACAATATAATTTAACTTATATATCTTGCATTTATTCATCTACCTGTGTGTCTCCATGGTGACAGACATGTTTATTGATGTAATTTGGAACATTCTAGGGCAAAGCAATAACTTTCTTCAGGGAGACAAGCAAGTGACGGAGTCTCCACTGGTAAAGTTATGCACTGTTTAATCTACCATCACTACCTCAGCTGTTATAGCACCACCCAAGCTGTAATGATAGAAAGATGCTGGATGGAGAAAGAGCACAATGCTGTCCCTTAGAGGTAAGTCTGTTTCACTCTTCACTCTCTGACCTGTCCCTTTGTCCTCCTGCAGTCAAGAGACAGATAGGGCAGTTCTGCAGTGTGACCAGTGATGCAGTCTGCATGAAGCAAATCTCCACTGCTGTCCAGTCTTTAACTTTAATTACACCGCCTCATTTGTCTCAATAATTGATAAAGAATGAGAAAAGATTATGCTATGGACTATCAGGAGTACTGAAAAAGCCAAATAACAAATACTAACTACTCAGTTACTATTACCACCCACTTTTCATGTCTAATTTGAGATTTTTCTTTTCTGCTCTGGTTTACCAAGTTTATAAAATTAATTTATTTTGCCTAACAACAGAGGTGGGTGCTAAGCTGCATTTACTTGAGTAACATTTTAAAGAAATTGTACTTCTCTGAGTAGTTTTCATACACTATACTTCACAATCTATTTGAGTTTCGTTTTCCTTCCCAGTGTGACAAAAGTTTTTGAAAATAATAAATGAATATGTTCCTCATACTGCTCCTTCACATGTGACTTTGTTTTTTCGTATTTTTGAGTTCAGTCCCTTGAAAATATCATAATTTGTGCTTTATTTAATGTTAAGTACTTCCAATTACAATAAATTCATATTATAAATTAGAAGTTATGTCCAGATGATGTCCAGAGTAGATGTTTCCCCAAATACTTTTTTAACTTTTACTTGAGAATTTTATTTACCACAACTTTGAACTTCCACTTGAGTATATTTTTCATACCAACCTCAGCTTAACAATATTCCCCAAACCAATGTAAACCTATACCCCTGCTCTGTCTGTATCTGTGGCGTCAGCTGCCCGTGCAACAGCACACCGGGGTAAAGAAGTCGTGGGCCCTGGGGAATCATGGTCCGTATGTCCAGAGACCTGCACAAGCTCCAGAGGAAATGGATGCTTCCGGAAAAGCTGTGTGGGACACTCATACCACTACATTAGCAGCTTGGTGTGTCTCTGTGTGTGTGTGTGTGTGTGTGTGTTTGTGTGTCTGTGTGTGTTTGTGTGTCTGTGTGTGTTTGTGTGTGTGCCCAACCACCAATATTGAATTCAGTGCAAGCAGAGCCAGGCATGGTATATTGTGTAAACAGATTCAACAGAAATTCGAAGGAAAGAATTATTTAAATAATTTACGCTCCCCAGGGTACCTCGATACAGTGTCACCTTTAAATGTCATATTCTGCATAACTGATCTGCGATAGAAGAACACGCTCACCTGATTAAATGCCTTGGTTAAGTGGATACTTCCAATTTTTTAACATACAGAAGAATTGTGTAGGGAAGAGAAACCTATAGTGAATTAAAAATAAATGCAAAACCTAAAGCTGGAAATAAACTTGGACTAAACCAAGTCTACATGAGGGCTGAACTGGGCCCAAACACTATTTTCACTATTTTCTGATCTATGTAAAGCTGCTTCCTCATCAAAAACATATCTGGAGTTGGGTTTTGTTTCATTCACACAGAGACACAGATCTTGCATATTTAAACCAGTAAGAGCTCAAAACTGGTAATACAGGATGTGCTCCACTGTGTTTTTAAACTCCACATACCTTCACTAGAATCATTTAGATAATTTCAGGCCTGGAATTTCCTGTCTCTACTGAACAAAAGGTGAAAGGTATCTGTTAACTTGGAAACTACCACTTCATGACACCACAATTTTGCGTAATATAGGACCTTTAAAACTGGCCAGCGCTGAAGTTCTGACCAGTAAATGAGCAAAAGACCACAATGGAATGACATTATTATTTTTGTTCACATAATCCTAAAAAATAGAAATAAAAGGCACCAAACCATACAACTCTTGATAAAGTGTAAATTCAGGTATTCAGGAAGAAGAATAGCAATAAGAACCTATAATTTTAGAGGGACATTTCCTCCCCTAAACTTGTTCTGCTGCTACTGCTTCTGCATTGGTATTTCTTTCTCTATTGTGCTATGGCATGGCCTGGCTTAATCCATATTTTCATTTTGTGAATGCATGTAGGAATGCAAACAGTGCGCAGTGGTATCTTGTCCCATATTTGCCGATACCGTACAGGCGTGTATACCTAACCTTTGGCACCCCTCCACTCTACTTCTGTGTAACTGATCCTTCTCCAATTGTGGTCATCTATTCAAATAACACTTCCTATTTGGATGAGACGCTGGCTTATCTCTCACTCTCTCTCTCACCTCACTCTCCCGCTCTGTACAGTTGAATGGCAGGTGTTGTGTCATCTTTTCAGCATTGCATAATCGGCCCGTAAAAGTACAGTAAACAAAGGTAGGCTTCCTCTTTTTGGAGAAATATGAGAATGCAGAAACTGTGACTTCTCATTTTCTTTTAAAGGTGCAGGAAGTCCTCAAACCCATGTTAATACAAGTGCACATACTTCAGTGTATGTAGTATTATTCAGTATAACATTGTGATGTAAATTATTGTATTCAAAGTTTTGCAAATGAATGAAAATCTACTCCTGCTGCTGTTCCTTTTAGCTCTACTACTGTTTCATACAGACACAACCACAACTATTTTAATTACTACTACTGATTACATACTATTACCTAAAGTTACTATGTTTGCTACAGGTTTTACTACTACTATTACTACTACTACTACTGTTTGTGCTGCAATGTTATCAAACATGCTGCTAGTTTAACAGGATCTACTTTTTTAGCTTTTTTACTACTACTACTTGCCTTGCATCACTACTGATACTACTACGGCTTCATTATAACAGTACTCTGGATTCTTCAGCTATAAACATTAAAACTATCTTTATCTTTCCCACCCACGTAGAACTTTTAGAGACACTTCATTTCTCATTTTTGTATTCAAACGTGTCCCTTTTCTAGAAATATATGTTGAAAGACTACACCTGTTTACAGAAACTCTGCAACCACAATAGATGAAATACCAAATTTAACTCGTTTCCACTTCATTGGGTTTTTACTCCGAAAACGCCTGGGCCAAGTTTAATCCTGCTTGATTTAAGCATTTGGAAAGGTCATGGCTCTGTTTTTACTCCTGTTTCCCAGAAAATAGAAGTCTTGAGAAATGAGTCAGTCAGTGTTTGCTCACTGAGGTCTGACCCAGCATGTATTTTACAAGAATGTGTGAGTAGGAGTGGTTGCTCATCATTGTATCTCTGTATGCGCTATTACATGGAAGGTCATATGTTTTTTTTACCAGTATCCCCAGCTGTTTTGCAGGTGACTTTCCCAGCGCCCCACGCCCTTCAAATGCTTAGTTTTCTCAGAGTGCCTGCTTCTACTGTACATGGCTAAACAACAGGTGATCAACAGGCCTCTTTGCTCATTGGCTACTTTCTGGTCACACCCTCTTTTCCCATGTTGATGACAGGTCACAAGAACAAAATGCCAACTCGAAAACAATCAAATGAAAGAGAGGGAGAAACAGGAAGAGGCAGGATGGGTGGATGAGACAAAGGCTCTGGAGTGGAGTTGTGGGAGTGAGCGGGAAGCGATGGGATGAGGTCATAGTGAAAGGTGAGGTCCCGCCCCCCTGACTCATACCAGGCAGGTGTGTGTTTACAGCTGCTCTGGGTGGGGCCTTGCTACAAACATGTCTTCTCAAGCACAGGTACGAATGTTCATCACAAACGAGAAGGCACTCAGACTCCTGAAAATGTGCTGTTTGAATCCATTTGTCTTTTTCTTGAGTTTTCAGACAATCTTAAAACATTTTGCCAGCGTTTGCTAATGTGTGCATTGTGTCTCCATGGTAACTGCTGAACA